TTGAATTGGATGGAGATGAAATGACTCGTATCATTTGGGCATGGATTAAAGAAATGGTTCGTTTCTTTTTTAAATCTTTCCGATAGACAAAAAAAAAATGAATATTTTTCCTATAGTTAATTTTTCCTTATGTTGATGTTGAATGCAAATATTATGATTTGGGTCTTGAAAATCGTGATGCAACTGATGATCAAGTTACTATTGAAGCTGCACATGCTATTCAACAATATAATGTTGGTATTAAATGTGCTACAATTACACCTGATGAACAACGTGTAAAAGGTAGAATAAATAATGAAATATATTTTTCGAAATAATTTTTTAAATAAATTTTTATTTAGAATTTTCACTTAAAAAAATGTGGCTTTCACCAAATGGAACTATTCGTAATATTCTTGTAAGGCATATTTTGAAAAAGAAGAAAGAAACAAAAAAAAAAACTTCTTTGTAATTTAGAATGGTACAGTTTTTCGTGAACCAATTATATGTAAAACAATTCCATTGTTAGTACCTGGTTGGAAACAACCAATTATAATTGGTCGTCATGCATTTGGTGATCAATATCGATGTCAAGATATGGTTATTAAAAATCCTGGACGTATTACTCTTAAATATACACCAGCAGATGGTTCACAAGCAACAGAAGTTGAAGTATATAATTTTACAAATACCGGTGGTGTTACATTAGCTATGTATAATACTGATGAATCAATAACAGGATTTGCTCATTCATGTTTTCAATATGCACTTAAAAAAGTACGAAAAATAAATAATCGATTTCTATGATAAATTATTATTATTATTTTGATCTTGTAGAATTATCCATTATATATGTCAACAAAAAATACAATACTTAAACAATATGATGGTCGTTTTAAAGATATATTTGAAGAACTTTATCAACAAAAATATAAACAAGAATTTGAACAAAATAATATTTGGTATGAACATCGATTAATTGATGGTATATTTCTTTTTGATGGATAATCACATAATAAAATTCGACTTTTCTTTTTTTCTATATAGATATGGTTGCTCAAGCACTTAAAAGTAATGGTGGTTTTGTTTGGGCATGTAAAAATTATGATGGTGATGTACAATCGGATATTGTTGCACAAGGTATTTGATAAAAGGAATTTATTATTTTATTATTGATTTGTATTAGGTTATGGCAGCCTTGGTCTTATGTCTTCTATACTTATTTGTCCTGATGGTAAAACAATTGAATCTGAAGCTGCTCATGGTACTGTAACACGACATTATCGTGAACATCAAAAAGTTAAAAGAATGAACAATTGAAAAAAACAAAAAAAAAAACTTTGATAATTTTTGTTTTTTATTTTCTAGGGAAAAGTAACAAGTACAAATCCAATAGCAAGTATATTTGCATGGACACGTGGTCTTGAACATCGTGGTAAACTTGATGGAAATGAAGAACTCCAACGGTATAGTTTTTGTTTTTTGATTTTAATAAAATTTGTTATTATGTTTCTTTTTAATCGGTCTTTTAATTCTAGTTGGTGTCGTTTACTTGAAGAAGCTTGTATAGAAACAGTTGATTCACAAAAAATGACAAAAGATCTTGCTATATGTATTCATGGTCTTAATAAGTATGATTTAGAAAATATATCGGATGGATTATAATGACTTAGAATAATTGTAAATGCAATATTTCAATCATTTATTATTTATATAAAATACTCATTTATATATCAAAAAGTAGAGAATTTCAAGCTCTACAAAACTATGTGTCTCACTTTTACAAAGAACCCTTCTTTTTTAATTTCGAAGCAACCAACACACTGAAATACATTGTATTATTCCTACTGCGGACTTAAAAACAAACTTTTTGATATCGCTGCTGAGAAGTCCATTGGATTTCTAAAAAACACGAAAATATTTTCGATGAAATCTTCTATCTTTCAAAACTTTAAATGATAGCTTCATGTAAAAACTCAGAGCACAAGAAATGAGAAAAAAACAATAAAATTTTACATCTATTTTAGGGCTTGCTCAGGTTTTCGTGAATTTTGACGAAAACTTATCGTGCTGCCTATTCATCAGTCATGAAGTTTTGTAGAGAATGAAATTCTATTGGTGTCCAAATAAGGACTTTACAACTGAATTTTAACTCAAAACTCAAATTTCATTACTTAAAAAATTACCATAGAGGATATTTTCAAGAGACTTTCAACTCACAAGTAAAACTTCGATTTCAGAAAGTCGATCAGCAGAATAAAGGACGAAATTCTCTGTCTTGATATAAAATTCTTTGTTTTCGAGATCCTCTATACTTTTTCAAAGTACGAGCAATGGCTTGAAATTCTGTATCTTTTCGTATTTAAATGAGAGAAAAATTGCATTTACATTTAGTTCGATTTATTATAACCCATTTGATATTTTTTATTTTTTGTTATATTCTTTTTTCTTTTTAGTATTAAAGAAGGCATGTATTTAAATACAAAAGATTTTATGACTGAAATCAAAAAAACACTTGATAAAAAACTTAATGATGTCAATTCAAAAGCAAAATGATCCAGTTGTTTTTTCAAGATAATTATAAAATTCAAATGACATTTGACTATACATTTTTAGATATGTAGTCAAGTCGATTAAACAGTTTTTTTTTTGTCAATCAATATTTTAATATTGTTTTATTTAGATTGTTACGAGTGATTCTTTTTTATTTGTTTGTTGGTGATCTGTTTATGGTATTTTATTTTCTTGGAAATATTTTTTTCTTGATTGATAAAGTTAAACTAAAGAGATTGATCTGATATCTATTTGTAAGAGGATTTAAAGAATAACAAAGAAGAGAGCAGTTAATATAATTAATCAATCTGATATTACATTTAAATTCAATTTGAATGAGTTTATATTAAATCAAAATGCACATTTTTCTTTTTCGAATAAATAATGATATAGAAGATTGGATGTGTTTAGTACATTTATTCACCAAGATCGACGTGGACGGTGTAAGATCAATTTTTTTTTGAGAAACAATGAAATTTTGAATAATCCAGGTGAAAAAAATCTTACGAACATCCTATAAGATCTTACTGGCAATCACGTGTCATACGTAGATGCCCCTAGTAACAATAAATCAAACACGAAAGCTTTAAAGACGCGTATAACTGCTTGCAAAATACTACGTGTATACATGCATTTTATTGTCTCATACAAGAAGATACAAAAGTATATTAACGAACTTTCGCATGGCCAAGCAAGAAAATTGTGGAAAAATAAAAAAAAACGAAATGCATGAAGCAATTTTGCATGAACATGCAGAAATATAGCAATGTGAGTATTTGCAAGTGAAACACACGTCTATGCATCTGCTAGTGTTTTGCATTTATGCACAACGATTGCTGATATTTCAGATAACTTGCATGTTCGTGTATGAGGTTCACCGGCTAAAAAAATGTCTTGCAAGTTGACGTGAATTTCTAAAAATTTTCTGTAAATGAATGAGCTTTTTTAAACTTTCCTGTTTGACTGGGTAGTTCCGCACCTTTACATCAAGTCTAAGAGCAAGAATTGTGATCCCTAATAATTTTCAAAGTATATCATGTTAACAATAAAATTTTTTGTCTTAAAACGACCTCTACTGTCAGAGGGTTAATGAGACATGTTTGCAGTGTTTATGTAATAAATGTTTTGCTTTCACTTTTATAGCGCATATTTACCTATGATTTTGTAGAGAATTGAATACTGAGCCTTTTAAAATGAAACTTAGTCCATAATTATTAAAATTAACAGAGGTATTAAGAAAATACTGAGAGGGTCATTTATTCTGACGCACCCGTTATTTATTGTTAGCAACTAATTGATCCTCACTCTGATTTCAAGGTAATAGATATGTTTTGATTGTTTTTTTCCAGACATTTCAGTTTTAAATTTTGTTCAAAAAAGAAAACAAAAATTACGAATGATGAATACTAAACCCACTCTTATTGATAACACACAATAAAGAAGATTAATCATTGTGTTTTGCTCATTATATGTTGATCAAGCAGACTTCAATTCTTTTGATCAGAGTCATCAAGTATCAAATAGTCGGCCTCAGAAAGATGGAAGCCGATTTATGATCAGGATATTAGTCTTAATCACGTGATAAATTTTTAAGATCGCTTATTCTGACAGGAGAAAATTCAAAATAATCACATATCGGACGTGTATGATGGGAAGATTATTCATCAGGATAACAATAAACAAAATCATCAAACTATGAATCAATCCTCCTATATGAACTATAGAGCCGTATTGAATACATATATATATATACATGTTGAGTTAAGTAGTGTTACTCTAGTATAAACAGGAGGCGTAGAAATTCGAGGACACAAGAAGTTCCTAGTGCTTTCTTGGGTTCTTTTTAGAGGAAGC